AAATGAACCCCACTTGATCATGGTGCACTATACTTTTAATAGATTTTTGTATGCAATTTGCCAGAATTGAGAATTTTTGCATATATGTTCGTCAGGAATATTGGTCTGAAGTTTTCTTTCCTTGATGTGTCTTTGTCTGGTTTTGGTATCAGGATGATAGTAGCTTCATAGATGGAGGGAACTCTTCCAAACTGATTTTCTATTTTATTGTATAATCTTAGAAGTATCAGTTAATTCTTCTTTGAAGGTCTTATGTAGCAAAATATTAAACCCTCATCTCACCCTGCACCAAAAAAAAAAAAAAATAATAATAATCAAATGAAAGTGGATCAAAGACTTGGGCACTACAACAGAGGCTCTGTGCTTAATAGAAAAAGTAGGCCCAAATCTCTACCATGTCAGCTTAAGAACTGGCTTCCTTAATAATGACTCCTAACATGCAAGAAGTAAAAATCAAAAATCAATAAATGAAATGGAATCAAACTAAAAATCTTCACAGCAAAGAAAACAACGTGAAGAGACCTTACAGAATGGGCAAAGAATCTTTACCACCAGCATCTTAGATAAAGTATTAATCTCCAGGATTTATAAAGAACTCAAAAAATATAACTTCCAAAAAACCAAATAACCCAATCAATAAATGAGCCAAGGAACTGAACAGACACTATACAGAAGTAATATGATCAGTCGACAGTATATGAAAAACATTCAACATCTCTAGCAACTGGAGAAATGCAAATCAAAACTACACCAAGATTCCATCTCACTCTAGTCAGAATGGCACTTATCAAGAATACAAACAACAAAAAATGTTGATGAGGATGTGGGGGAAAAGGTTCACTCATACATAGCTGGTGGGACTGCAAATTGCTGCAACCACTATAAAAAGCAGTATGCAGATTCCTCAGAAAACGTAGAATGAAGTACCATTTGACCCAGCTGTCCCACTCCTTGGTTTATACCCAAAGTACTTACTATAGTGTCACAACCACTTCAACGTTTATAGCAGCTCCATTCACAGTAGCTAAACAATGGATCCAACCTACGTGTCCTTAAACGAATGGATAAAGAAAATGTGCTATGTATACACACACACAATACAATAGTACTCTGCCTTACAGAATTAAGTTATGACATTTGCTGGTAAAAGGATGGAACAGGAGAATATTTTATGAAGGAAAATAAACCAATCCCAAAGAACTAAATGCTGAATGTTTTCTGATATGAGAATGCTAATTCGCAGTAAGAGGTGGGGAGAATAATGGTATTTTGGACTAAACAGAGGGAAGTGAAGGGAGAGAAGGGGGTATGGGGGTAGGAATGATAGTAAAATGAATCTGACATTGTTACATATGCCTATATGACTACATGACCTGTGTAACTCTACATCATGTACAACCAGAAGTTATGCTCCATTTATGTATGTGTCAAAATGCAGTCTACTGCCATGTATAACTAATTAGAATAAAAAAATTTAGATGGAAATACAATATGATCCATTCATTTCACTCTTAGTTTCCTAAGAAAAAAATCAAAGTGCATGTCCATACAAAGGTGTGTATATCAATGTTCACATCAACTTCAGTGTAATAGCCCCAAACTGGAAACTCAAAAGTCCATTCAATAGCTGAATGAATAAACCATGGTTTATTTGTAGAATAGAAGGCTTTTTAACAAAAAATTACTGATGTATTACAAAATGGACTAATCAATTATGTTAAGAGGAAGAATCTAGACAAAGAGAGCACTTGTTATATTATTCCACTTATATAAAGTTTGAAGAAAAGCCAACAAATAGTTGGTTAAGTACAGTGGTTAACTACAATGAATACAGAAAGGATTAGAGGAAGGACTTACAAAGAAGTATGAGAAAATGTAGGGACAATTGATGTGTTCCTTTCCTTGATTGTGGTAATGTTTCAAAGATATAAACAAATGTTTATATACTACATGCATATTATTGATAATTGACATACAATTAAGCATAAGGCCGTTTTTAAAAAGGAACCAAAATTTAGGGTTATGAAAAAATTAAGGTATTTGACAGATGTTTTCCCAAAAATGGACATTGAACATTAAAAGGAAAAACAATGACAGTTTTTGTTGCCAGTGATAAAATTTAAGCTTTCAAATAAAAATTCATAGTTTAGGATGCATTTATTTGCTACCAAGAGTAGGTCAATGCCGAGACAACTTTCTGATGTTGGTTGTGACATTAATGAATAGAATCTTTTGATACTGTATAATGAATTGTGTCACTATTTGAAAAGTCTAAATTGCCTGATGACCTGATATTTTCCAAATGATCAAAGCATGATGCTATAAAATCATGCATGGGTAAAAGATATATTTAAATTTCATGATCAACCAATGAACTCAGGGAGTATGAAAAGTTCACTGATATGTTTCAGATTCTACAATGCAGCTAGCCTTTAAGAAAATTTAGCAAAATTTGTGGTTGGCACAATTGGAGAATGGCTCCCAAACAGTCTCCACCCAAGTACCTGGATCCTGTGATTATGAAAACATGCCACTCTCAGTTATGTTCAGTCACATGGCATAGTTGTACTTAAATCAGGCTTATCTGGGTAGATGTGATCTAATTATATGAGCCCTTTTAAGAGCAGAGAATATTGTCCAGATGGTAACTGAAGTCACAATAATCAAAAACATTTGAGGGATTTGATATGCCAGTGCTGGCTTTGAAGATGCAGAGACCATGTGAACAGAAATGTAGGCAATCTTATGAAGCTAAGAGATACCCCAGCTGACAAGAAGTGAAGAAATGGGAACCCCAGACTGATAGCTGCAAGGCATAGGACTCTGCCAACAACTGAAGGAGAAGGGCAATGGGTTTTCCCCCAGAGTCTCCAGATAAGAGCTTCATCTGACATTTTGATTTTGAGTTTCTGAGGCACTGGGAATTCAGTCAAGGCCGCCTTTTTTGGGGAGGTGGATGAGAGGTACTAGGAATTAAACCCAAGCTACCTCTGAGCTACATCCCCAACCCCTTTTGAAACAGAGTCTAAGTGGTTAAGAGCCTCACTTCCTTCCCGAGGCTGGCCTTGATCTTGCAATTTTCCTGACTCAGCCACCTGAATTGCTGGAATTACCTGTGAGCCACTGCATACAGCTCTGCCTTGACTTCTAACCCAACACTACTACGAAGTAAAAAATTGGTGTTGTTTTAATCTTCTAGACAGTGATAATTTGTCATCCAGCAATAAAGAGCTAATACATTGACTTTAAATCAAAACAAGCTTGGATCCAACTTTCTCACTATTTTTACCCTCCTTCATATGATTCTTACAGTGAGTCCAGAGTCATTTATTCATCAATGTTAAAAATAAAACCACCTAATCCTTACATAAATGATTATGATGTAAAGTATGTAAATATACAAAATGGAATAAACTATAGCCAGTAAAATGAAGGTAAAAGTAGTTTATGCATAACAAACATTAAAACTGATCCAAATTGTATTTATGACGAGAAAAAAGCAAGATCTAATAGTGTTAGAATGATTTCTTATGATTTAATTTAAAGAATTATCTAAAGGACTGCATAAAAGTCAAGGTACCTGTATTAAACATCATTCTCTAAAAATAATTTAAAAATCTATAAATGGCTAACAAGTTTTGGGGATATAAGTAGGTTGTTCAGTGAAAAGCTTTAATTTAGAATTTTTTACTTTTCATTACATTTTTAAATAAATTTAAGAAGTATTAACACAAGTTACTTGTCTGTGTCTGAATAAACATTTGCCTGGGTTTCATACAAAACTTTCTTCTTCAATTTACTTAAACTTGTCATCATGAATTTGCTTCCTTGCTACTTTTAAGTATCCATGATAAGGTCATTTGCCTTTCCTCATTAAGTCCCCCACCCCACTTCCCATATGCCATTTCTTATTCACCAGGAGTTTCATTTGCACCTATATGAATGTTAATGTGTACGTATAACATTCATGTCCTATTTTAATTATACACTATCCACTGTTCTTAAATTTTTATACTGTATCTTTTCCTCTTTTCACAGTACTGAAATTTGTATTAAGATCATAAGTAGTACAAATCATTCCAACATACAATGGACCTAAAACAATACCATGCTGATGAGGATACAGATGATGATCTTTGTGTTCATAGTTATATAGTAACATTGTGAATATTCCAATAGCAGGTAAAGTAGTATGATAAAATGGGACAATAAGCTTAAAGAGTAGAACAATTATGTAGACAATAACGTAATTTTCCCATTAAATACTAAATTTACTTAATGTATTTTAATGGAAATTACAAATAGTTTCACATTCCTTTAAATATCTTCTTTTAAAATTAGTAATTGTTACAGGTAAAACTTAAAAAGGCAAATACTTTTCATGATTAAATATCGTACTTATAAATCTTATCAAGATCAAACTTTACCTCTGATTGGATTATCAGAAAGATGGATAATGAGAAAAACTTAAAAACACACCATCAGTTTCAGACTTTTCTTGTCCCAAGTTGTTAACCAGAAGACCAGGAGGCATTGAAAGTCACCAGAAAGAAATACAAGAAGTTACTAAATAGTGCACATTTTGTTTGCCCACATGTGAAAGAAGTTCACGGTTCATAAGTGATCCAAAGACCAAAGAGGATATGTGGAGATGTACTTGGAAAATGATACACAAGAAGATATATAAGAAGTGCTATCCCTGCTATAAAGTCACACTAAGGAGACGTTTTTCTACACAGCTTTCTACACATAAACATACTACTGAATTCCATACTACAGTTGTAAATCTGTCTCAAAAAAAAAGTTGGCTGACATTTTCAAAAAACAGCAAGGTGTAATAGCCTATAAAACATTGAGTATATGTACAAGTTCTTTGTTATAGGGAAAATGTTTCACAAAATCCTTGGAAACTTTACAAGGAGAAATTAAAGAGACTGCACATAAAAAAGTAATAAAACATAACATTAAAATGTCATTGTGCAAATTTCTCAAATCATTACCTGGAACCAGTTCCATAATGATGTAGACAGGTTGTCTTTGTGTGCAAACTCCTATGAGTTTGACAATATTAGGATGATCATATTGCTTGAGAATTCTGGATTAGAGAAAAGTATAATTATCATCTAAATATAAGTGAATGCTTTAGTCATTAATACTTTATTTTTAAATCGTGTGCACAAAATTGTTTAATCACAATTCAATTTTAAAATGTCAACATAACTTCTAATTATAAAAAAGATGTAATAAACAAGTATTCATAAATATTAACAAAATATAGACACAAGTGGGTCAATTCACCTTAATTGAATTAAATAGCCACTTAAAAATTATCTCCTCTGAATGAGTAAAATTATGCTAAATAGGAATAATCTAGTTTGTTCAAAAGATGTAGAATTCCTTCTATGTATCTGATTTTAGTACCATCACCAAATTAAACACACCTAATTTGTAAATGCTACAGTGATCATTACACTTACATTTAAATACTTAGAATCATGATCAATTAAAAAATGGTAGGACACAAAAACGTTAATAAATTTGGCAAGATGTTAAAAAAATCATTGAGTAACATGCTAAAGCTGAAGCAGAATAGAGTTAATTTGGTAAAGAAAATTTCATCAAAGGTTATAGGAATAACATAGGCTCATCCATAGGATTCAAAGTATGAGCTGAAAACGGATTACATATCTTCAGAAGCTTGCTGCCCCGATTATGTCTTTTACATCCAAATTTTATCCACTGACAATCTTAAATTTGCTCCTATTTGAAAATTGCAGTATTCTTTCCTAGGATGAAAGAACTTTGGGGGAAAAAAAAGTGTTTCGTGTGTATACTGCTAAAGCAGGATAAACTCTAATATTTTAGACTTAAAATACATAATTTACAAATAAAAAGACTACAAAGAATTCTAGAGATCAAGGAAAAATATTGCCATTAACTTTGAGATTATAATTTATTCTAGAAATTAAAAAGGAAATTTAAAGAATGTTCAACTTCAAAATATTGTTTCTTAAGTTAGAAGCTGCTTGGTAAAGAAATTGCAAACAATAGCCACTATGAACTCTGTAGTATTAGATAACTAAATAGATTTAGAACCCATTAAAGGACACTAAAAAGTTTGAATGAATAAACTTTTTCATTTTTAAAATTTTCTAATTTTATTTTAAAAGAAATTAAGGGGCTGGGGCTCAATGATAGCACACTTGCTGGCCATGTGTGAGGCACTGGGTTCGATTCTTAGCATCGAATATACAAAAAATAAAGGTCTATCAACGACAAAAAAATTTTTTTTTAAAGAAGAAATCAAACTCTTCACTGTGCAACGAAACAATTATGCTAGAATAAAATTTAAGTTTTTTGAAAACGTTATAACAGCCTTTTTACCTTAAGAATACCTATGAACAAACAGCCATAAAAAAATGAGGCTATGAATTTCAATTATGAGAGCACAGAGTTTAACTTATTAGAAATTCAGACAAAAGGATCTCCAAATTTATTCTATGGATAATATTTAACAAATGTTTCCAACTATTTTTATCCATTGCCAAGACCATTCATTTTTAGATGATGAATGAAAAAATGTACATCAAAATGATCCATGTCATGGGACAGTTCTCCTTGCCATCTATTCTCTATTTATATATCACAAAAAAAATGTATGGATCTATGTATTATTTCCCATCATCCATTAACCATTCATTCATCTTCCATCCATATTTCCATCTAGTTTATTCTGTCCAAGTTACCTATTGTCTTTTATTGTATATGCTGAATTTAACCACTAATAGAATAGTTTTACCTATTTGTTATACAGGGATAGTAAGGTAGAACATTAAATTTTAGCTTATAGGAAAAAAAATAAAAACAATGTGTATACTTTTAACAAATTCCAGACACTAAACTGAAAAATTTCAGGTTCTCAGAAAAGAAAACTAATAACTAGTAAAAGAGAATCAACTCAATATCCACGGAGAGTATAATTATATATTATAAGTATCTTAAGCATATGACACAGTAATATTTTTGTTCTAAAGATAATCACATTGCATGTAGACATATCTAGGTGAATGTATGATAAACAAAAACATTGCTATATTTAAAAGAAGCACAGAATACTCACTACTTTTAAATACCTGTCTTGTTATGATTGCCTATCAACATATAGTCTACCTTAAAAAAACAAATTGTTTCCTCATTATAAAAGTGCTTATTTCTACTTCAACAAATCACAATTTAAGATACCTTCAAACTTGGATTTTGATTATAAATGCAGTATAATGAATAAGTATGTTACAGTGAATTAAAATGCATATTTATATTATTTTAGAGAACTCACTTGGCTTCTTGTAAAAATTTTATTTTCAATTCCTGAGGAAGATCTTCTTTACACGTTTTAACAGCAACATTAGTTTTATCCTTTAATGTGCCCTTATATACTTCACCAAAATTTCCCTGAAAATACAAATTGTTTGAGATGTATGACAACATGTAAATCTTTATTAAATGTAAGGAAAAGATGTTTAAATATAAGGAAAACATGAAATGAGGCAGTTTGAGTTAATCAATTTACTCTGCTAACTTTGTTATTCTCGCAAGTATTTTCCCCACAACTGTCAGATTAGTATATAGAAGACAGAACAGACAAGATATTAATATACATTATTCCTGCTGGGCCTCTACTTACCCAATTCTAATGCACTATCTTCAACTTGTCTTAAATTTATCATCCAAGACTCTTCCTGGCTAAACTACTTTCTTCAATTACTAGATCTGTCATTCTCCATGTAAGCACTCAGTTTCTGCCTCTACAATACCTTTGTCTTCCCCTTTCATCTCAGAAAGGTTACCCATAATCAGGATCGTGATCTTCTCATCTTAAATTCCTCACTCTTCCAAACCATCCACCTTAGCACAGCCAGGTTAACCTTTGCTAGAGAAAACTGATTCTACTACTACCTTGCTCGATATCCATCCTTCAATCACTATTACTTTCTTAGCCACCAACTGCACAGTATAGCCTCCAAATGCTACCTGTGTGCTAAACACAAATAGTTAGTAATCAGAGAATATGTGCCATGGTTTAACTACATTCCTACCCTTTATGAAAACCCCCAACCTCCAATGAAAAAATGCTACCTAAGCTTAAGTCCACTTCCTACACTCCCTCCTTCATAAAGGCTTTGTTATCTTTCCTCTGTTATGTCTCCTGTTCCTGAACAACTCATCATCACTCCATTGTCCCTTTGTATTTTCCTAATGGTTTCTGCTTTACGTAACAGGTCTTGGTCCCCATTGAGCATTGGAAAAATTTTAAACATTCATTTGACAAATGCTACCCAGACAACTTCATAGGACAGCTTTCACTCTCTACCATGAAATGAACAAAACTTCATGTCTGCTACTGGCCTTACACCCATGGGACAGGTCTCACTATACTTTTTGTCTTTATGTCAATCATAAGATCATGGCCCAGGGTGAACCTTCATTTCTTCCTCTCGTATTTTACATACTTCCATTTAATCCTTGTTTCTCTCCTATAGCCAGCTTCCACTGTGCCTTCTGAAATTCATAGGATATCAAAATATCCTCAACTTACCCTACAATCATCCCTTTTACCTTATTCTAATAGAAGCCCGTTTCTTACCTGAAAACTACCAAGTGATGAAGAGCTTGCTTTTATCCTCTAAATAATACCTTCTCCACTACCCCCATATAATTCTACCACTGCCTCAATTTCACATTTTGCTCTGCAGAGAATCAAATCCAGGCCTGACAAATGCTAGGCAAGCACACTACTCACTGAGCTACTCTCCCAGGCTAATCTGTTAATTCTAAATATCACCGACATAACAACTATGACATTTGTATCTGACACAGAGATCTCTTTCAAACTGCAGACTTGATACCAATTGTCTTTTTTTGTCTCCACATGAAAGTCTGTAGACAAACAATATATTCAAAATGGAACACCTCATGTTGTTCCCTAAACCTGGTACATTTACAGCTGACATCTTTTAAACTCAGAGTCCATCAACATATTCAATTATATAGATATATTCAATTATATCTAGAACTCACCACTTCTCATCACCTCTCAGCCACCACCCTGTTGTTGCATCATCTCCTCCTAAATTGTGTATGACTGCCTTTCAACTTTGAAACTATTTTTAACAGTGACCCTTTTTAAAAAAGATTATTCTACTTCTCCACACAAAATTGTTCACTATCTCACCATTTCATTCATGATCAGAGCCAAAGTAATTACAATGGCTTACAGGGTCCTAATGATCTGTACTCTCAACTCAGATTTTCCTTTCTATTACATTTCCCCTTCTTTACTCAGTTACACCCAAACTTCTTCCCTTCTCCCTCTCAAACCCCCTGTATTTTATTGGTCTCCCTTCTATTTTCAAGAGATCCCTTTTAAAATTCTTTTCCCTAGCAACCCTCTTTCTCTTCCATGTGAGCAGACATTATAGTTTTGACTTTATGTTTGGCTTATTTCATGCAGCATTATATTCACCAGTTCCATCCATTTACCAGAAAGTGACATGATTTCATTCTTCATGACTTAATAAAACTCCACTGTGATTATACCATATATTGTTTATCCATTCTTTCATTGATGGATACATAGGCTGGTCCCATAACAGGGCTAATGTGAATTGTGCTGCTATGAACATGAAATGCATAATGAATTCCACTATTATATGTAATTACCATGAACCAACAAAAAATAATGAATAAATAAATCAGCACATGAAGTGAATGCTAAAGTGACAAAACTCTTATGGGCAGTTGGGGATATAGTACAGGTCTTAGGTTTCAGAGCCGGCACTGAGGGGGAAAAAAAAAAACCTTTTGAATAAACTAAATCTTCATAAACTTAGTGTTATGGTTTGAATGTAAGTATTCCACCAAAATACATATGCTGGCATTTAACCCTGAAGGTTAAGAGATGAGGTTTTGGGAGATAACTTAGCCTTGAGGCATCTTTCACCACAGATGATATTCTTACTCAAATAAAAGTGCTTGAGGTGGGAAAGAAGGTAGTGTCAATAAATGAAAAGTCATGCTCTTATGTTAAAAAATATTAAATGAAGTGAAGCTACATAGCGTCTCTTCAAGTATTATTAAGATTGATTAAATTTGGCCAAGCATGGTGGCACATTCCTGTAATTCCAGTGGTTTGGGAGGCTGAGGCAGGAGGATTATAAGTTCAAAGCCAGCCTCAGCAAAAGTAAGGCACTAAGCAAACTGCTTAGACCCCGTCTCTAAATAAAATACAAAACAGGGCTGGGGGTATGTCTGTGGTCAGGTACTTCTGAGCCAGAGTTCAAACCCTGGTAAGCCCCCCAACCTGCACCCCCTCAACAATTGATTAAATTTATTGAGACTGACATGCTCTTTTCTAGTCATCAGTAAAGCTACTTTAAGGTTCTTTTCTTAAGAAGCTAAATTCTCCCTGATAAGCCAAATCTTCTAACTTAAAAACAACTGAAATATTTTTCTTTAATTGAAAATATTTTTCCATAGTACTGAAAAATCTGTCCAACATAATCTATTTCATTAAGTACTTTAGTTTTAAAATTTAATTGAATTTTCATGGAAATTCATTTCTTGGTAATATTTTTGTCCTGATTACTACTATTGAGTATGGTAATAGAAAGAAGGAATGTTTCCTAAGGAATTAAGAGAGTGTCAGAGTAAATGAACATTATTTTAACCTAAGGTACTTTAGAATTTAAATAAGTTCATTAGCAGCTATACAAATATGATCTCTAACCACAATTTGATGCTTTCATATGGAAAATATTTTAAAATAAAAAACATTCTGTAAAGTAGGTTTTCAACAAGGAATTACTTTCTAAATATACAACAGACAAAAAAATAGGGGGACCAGTTAGTTCATCAAGTTTACATGTGAATAAAAAAAGCAGTAAGCAATCATTTATTATTTATTTAAAATACTTAGTTTGAATTAAATCTAGTACTGATCACTAATAAATCATGATAGTTTACCAAAATATCTGGATTTTATATTATTTTCATGGTACTCCATAAACAACTCAAACTTTCATATGGAGACATTCATAATTAAGATAGTGACAAATTAATCTTTATCCATCAGAACTCAATTATAAATTAATAAATTTTCAGTCCATTTAATTATCAAATGTCCATTTTTATTATTAGACATAATTTATCATGGCCTCCGAGTTAGGAAAGACTTCTAACTAGTTTGGAAAAAAAGGAACTTCACTATATAAAACTGCCCTCTGACCACTACTAGAGCTAATTAAAAATGAATATGTTGAAACATGCGTCTTGTCTACATTACTTTTAGATTAAAAACAACATGTCCAGTGTTCTAAACAAGTCCTGAAATCACAAGAAGCAGTACCTTACTTTTTCTGAACTATTATTACATATAGCCAGAAACAAAATAAGATTTTTAGGCTTCTATTTAAACTTTTATTCCCTAATAGTTTAATTCCCTAATTCTTTTCAAATCTCATCTCAGTAGTTTTGGTTTTATTATATGGTAATAAAATCATTATGGCTCAGCTTTCCAAGGGAAAACATACAATTTTTAAAAGATAGGAATCATCCATAACCCTTTCAAATAAATACATGTCTATTTCAGTGAAAAATCGTAGTGTTAACTACAGATGTTTCATTATTGTTCTTCAGGATTAAGGTACAAGAAAAACTTTGAAGAAAAAGAAATCTACAGTGTTCACTCTTAAGGGTTTTTTTTGTTTGTTTGTTTTTTTTTTTTTGGTATTTAGTTTAGTTGTTTACATACCTTGCCTAGTAATTCTCCCAATGTGACATCTTCATGATTGAGAATCCATTTCTTATCCTATGGGGGAAAAATAATCTTTTTAGTCATTTAGTCCAAGCAAGAGTGCATTTCCTATAGGATGCATTTGAAGCAGTGGAAAATGTACCAAAAAGGATACTTTATTTATACCATTCAATCAACCTCACACTAAGAAGTTATAAGCTCAAGATGTTGTAAAATAGATTTAAGAAATGTTGCTACACAATAGTATATTAAAATCTGCACTGTAGCTAACTTCCATCAGAAATTTCCGGCTTCAAAAGGATAATATCCCTGTAACTATAAAAGCATGTACTTTCCACCTGCTATCGAGTGTTGGCTACGCAATTATTCTTCTTTCTAAAAACAGTTGTGTTGTAAGTACATGAAGGAGTTCTATTTTACAATGTAAAATTTCCAATTCTTAGAAAATTATTTTTCTATACAATCCATATTAATAAGAGATTTAAAAAAGACATAATTTAGAGTTACACCTTTCGATGGCACTGCATGTAGTCCCCTATCTTTCCCAAGTAATTTCCTGTGGCATAATAAAGCAACCAACATCAATGGCAATATCACTAGGATACACAAGATCAGTGATGCAAGTATGCCATTATAAAAAAGCATCCCATTATCTGATATGAAGAACCAATTACTACTTAGGGAATATTTTAGCATGTAAAATGTCTTAGCTATTAAACCACACTATACCTTAATGTTAAAAAAAAAAAAACTATTTTTCTAGAGGAGGAATTAAAAAAAAAAACAAAAGTAGGAAGAAGGAAGCGAAAGTGAAATATATTGTTCCTGGTTTAGAGTTTTGGGTGTGTATTATATATTATATTTATTAGAATGTAGTTTGAATTATTATAAACAATGAAATAATTATGATCTATGCTATGAGTTATAACAAGTAATCAAACATTTATCATAACTATGGTTTAAGATGTCCTGGACATCATGTGATATTCAACTACCATCCTCTGAAAGACAGATCAACAAAAGAGACAACACAGGGTTTTAAATGCAATAGTCTTTCCATCTAAATGTTAAGTTGAACCTATAAAAATCTTAGGAAAAACATGGCAGAATATCCTTACAACCAAGGGAGTAAGATTTCTTAGGCATAGAAAGCACCCACTATAAAAGAAATACAAATTAGATTTAAATCAAAATTACAAACATTTGTTATTTCAAAGGCATCATTTAAAAAATAAAAATGTCTGCCTATAATTCTAGTGGCTGGAGAGGCTGAAACAGGAGGATCTCAACTCCAAGCCCAGCATCAGCAACTTAGCAAGGCCCTACGCACTTAGCAAGACCGTCTCAAAAAAGGGCTGGGGATGTGGCTCAGTGGTAGTGTGCCCCTGGTTTCCAGTCCCAGCACCAAAAAAGAAAACCTACAGTTAAAAATATTTTTGCAAGATTCATATCTAACAAATCTGTATACAGAATTTATAGAAACTTGTATCAGTAACAGTTTTTTTTTCCATACTACTTCTTAAAATTAGGCTAACAAAAGATGGATAAATACCCAGTAGGCACACCAAAACATTCTTAACATTGCTAGTCATCAGAAACAAATAAACAGCAGTAGAAGCATTTCATACCTATTAATACACTAAAATTAATAAAATGTGCATTTGTTGTGCTGGGTAATCAATCCCAGGGCCTCATGTATGCCATACATGTTATACCACTGAGCTACTTACCAGCCCAGAATACTAAAATTGAAAAGATTATTTACACTAGGTAATTGTGAGGATGTGGAGCAACTGGAGTGGTCATATGTTGTTGGTGAGAATGCAAAAATGATAAACATTTGAAAACTATTTCAAAATTTATTCTAGAGTTAAACACAGACCTACCTTATGACTAAATACTATTGGATGACAAAAAAGAAACCACAGATGTGAAAAATAATTTGGAAAACATTTTGCTGGGCTAATAAATCCAAGGATATTCTACATAATTATCTCATTTATAAAAAATTTTAGAGGAGGATAACTATAATGTTAGAAATCAAACCAATGGTCGTCTGGGTTAGGTGTTGAGAACGACCATTTATCAAAGGGAAAAAAGGCACTTTGAGAGGTTACGGAAATGGTAATTTTGGGGGGTACTCTACCAGTGAGCTAGCCTCCACCCCTTCATTTCTTGATATCTTATTGACCTATACACCTAAAATTCTATGAGGCATTACTGTGTGTAAATTATATGTACCTTATGTTTTTAATGAAATATAAATCCTTTTGTTTTCAGTAGCACTTTTTGGGTTACTCTTACCCCACCCCATATATTGTCCAATGTTATTTGAAGAGGTATTTTGAGTTTGAGAGCTTTTTCACTTTTGACAATGGGAACTAAGTTGTTTAGACCTGTAAGCCCCTGAAAAAAGCAGGCTGAAATGTTAACAGAAATAAACCCCTCAGTTATCTGATGGTACTAAAGAGCTATGGAACAACTATTGAACAAAAGCTACTGAACAACAGTTAACAACTGGGAGGTTAAGCTTAAGAAAAGAATCCAAGTTATCAAGGGATAATCAGGAAGGTAGATGTCATATGCATGTATGAAAATGTCACAAAGAAACACATTTGTAAAATCAACATATGCTAATGATTGTTTTTTAAAGATCCTATGATGTATAGATGACTTTCATCTTTAAGTGAATATGGAGGGGCAACCATTTTCATATTAGACAAGGGGACTTTAAGCCAAAATTAACCAGATACAAAGTCATTTCATACTGGTTAAGGGACTCAACACGATGATATGATTTTAACTATTTATGGTACAAATATGGCTACACCTACATACATAAAACAAATCCTTTTCAATATAAAAAAATCAAATAGACCATGATACAATAAATAATGCTGGGTGATTTCAACACACCTTTCTCACCATTTGATAGGTCATCCTGACATAAATAAAGACTCCTCAAAACTAAAAACACTATATTAATCAAATGGACATAACAGCCATCTATAGAATATTTTATCCACTGATAAGTGAATTCACTTTCTTTTCAGGGGCACATGGCACTTTCTCTACAATAGATCTATTTTAGGACACAAAACATGTTAGGAAAAAAAATTCCTTGTATTCTATCAGATTATAATAGAATGAAATTAGAAATCAACAAACCATTTTAACACCTGGAGATGAAATATGCTTTTGTATATAGAATGGATCACAGAAGAAATCAGGAGATAAAAAGTCTCAGGAACAAATGAAAACAGACACAAGTTATCAAAATCTCTGTATAGTGATAAGGCAGCTATAAGAGGAAAGTTTATAGAGTTCCTAGATTTAATAGGGAGATCCCAAGTAAAATATCTAATGGTATACTTTAGGCTTCAGAAAAAGAAAAAAAAATCCAAAATAGAAGACAGAAACTCAAAGCCAAAAATAGTAAAATTTACAATTTAAAATACAAAGGGTCAATTCAACAGAATATTAGTTCTTTGGAATGATAAATAAGAATGATAGAGCTGGGCACAGTGGTGTACAACTATAATCCCAGCAACTCAGGAGGCTGAAACAGGAGGATCCTGAGTTCAAAGCCAGCCTCAGCAACTTAGTGAGGACCAAAGCAACTCAGTAAGAACCATCTCTAAATAAAACTCAAAACAAGGCTGGGGATGTGGCTCAGTGTTCGAATGCTCCTGAGTTTGAACACTGATCACCCTCTCCCCCGAAAAAAAGATTGATAGAACCTTAGCCAAACTACACACAAAAAAGAAGATGCAAATTAAGAAAGGAAATAACACCAGGAATTTCTGAAATCCAGTGAATAATTAGAAATTCTTTCATAAATTTATACTCTAATAAACTGGAACATATAGAAGATACTGACAAATTTTGAGCACATGACCTATTTAAGTTGAACCAGGAAAATACAGAAAACTTTAACAGACCAGTTTCAAGTAATGCAATTGAAGAAACAATAAAGAAAAGCTCAGGACCAGATGAATTTTCAGTCAAGTTCTACCAGACCTTTAAAAAGACTAATACCAATCCAAATTATTCTATGAAATAGAAAGGGAGGAACCACCAAATTAATTATTAAGCTAGTATCCTCCTGTTAACAAAACCGAGACATCAAGGAAAGCAAACTTCAGACCAATATCCTTAATGAAAAAATGATATAAAAATCCTTAATAAAATATTGGCAAACTGCACTCAAAAAAACACATGAAGAAAATAGTACAACATGATAAATCCAGGATAAAGACCAGGGATGCAAGGCTAGTTCACTAAATGCCAATCAACATAAAATTTGCTATGTAAACAGAGTTAAGGAAGTAACCACATAAACAGATGCAGAAAAATCATCTGATGTAATCAAGCACACATTTGTGTTAAAAACACTGGAGAAACTAGGAGTAGAAGGAACTTACATTAATATTGTAAAAGGTACATATGACAAATGCAAGGCCAATATCAATGAATGGAGAAAACTTGAAAGCATTTCTTCTAGGATCAGGAACAAGAAGAAGATTTCTACTCTCACCACTCTTAATCATCATAATTCTTGAAACTCTGGCCAGAATTATCAGGGAAGAGAAAGCAATTAAAGGAACATGAATGGGAAAAGTAATCAAATTTCTGTTGCTGATGATATAATCATAAACAAAAAAAGTTCTCTACCAGAAGACTTCTACAAGTCATTAGTTCAAAGTTAAGGGATACAATCAATCACATTATTATACTACATAATGAATCTGCTAAGAATAAAATCAGAAAAAACAATGCCATTTACAATAATCTCAAAAAAAATAATACTTGGGAATACATTTAACCAAAAAGGTGAAAGCCCTTTACAATGAAAACTACACATCACTGAAGAAAGCAATTGAAAAAGGCCAAAGATAGAGAGACCTCCCAGATTCTTGAATAGGCAGAATTAACATTGCAAAAATAAACATACTACCAAAAGCATTTCACAGATTGGTATTTTGATGGGGATTGCATTCAATGACATTCTTTACAGAACTTAAAAAAAAAAAAAAAGTCCTAAAATCCATTTG